AGAGGGGGCACCCATGGACCCTGCTTTAACAAGCTGGGGCTGAAGCCCTCGGGGCTCTGCTGACCGCACTGGCTGGGGCCACCTGGAAGCTGGCCCTGGTGGGCTGGGGAGCCAGGGTCACGAGGGGTAGGGGGTGGGTGGAGGTGGAGACGGACCCAAGGCAACAGACCCTGAGCAGGCTGGTCAGTGGGACGTGGACAGTGGGGGCAGGAGAGGCCAGCAGCGTGTTCCCCACCCATTTCCAGCCCAACGGGGAGGCTGGGGAGGAGGTGGAGCTGGCCGAGGCTTGGCCGTGGCGGGTGCAGGGTGCCCAAGCGGCCTGCAGAGGTGACCAGGAGGCCCCTGACACAGGCCTTCGCTCCACGGAGGCCAGGGCTGAAATCTGGGTGTGCACAGGGCCCTGAGGGACCAGCCAGCCCTGCCCGTCCCTGCCCTCTCCCTGCTCTTGAGGAGCTGAGCAGGAAAGGGGGGGACAGGGGCCTCTGGGTGGTGACCCTCCTCTCTCCCCGGCCACAGCATCCACAACGGGGTGATTGCCGTCTTCCAGCGCAGGGGGCTGCCCGACCAGGAGCTCTTCAGCCTCAACGAAGGTGTCCGGTGAGTGTCCACCACCTCCTGGGGCCTGGTGGGTGGGGACAGCGAGCTCCTGCTGCACTGCGCATTGGTGAGACGGCGAGGCCTGAGTGGGCAGCGGCCATGGCCAGGACCCCTGTGACCTCAGCCAGCCTCTGGGCCTGGGGCCCGCGCCTCCACCCCTCCCGGGACATCCTTCCGGGGAAGCGGGTGGAACGTGGACAGTGGCATGAGATGACGCCCTTCCCTGCCAGTGTGGAGCGTCACATCACCGAGGGCCTTTATTCTGTCAGAGCGGAAGGACCCACCTGCCTGATGACCAGAGGAAAGGCAATGCAGCCCAGCACTCCTCTCATTTCCTGTGACGAGCAGGGAACGAGGGTGGGAGCACCCTCAGGGCACCACTGTGAAGCAGGCAGCTACAGGTGGAAGCCTTTGGCAGAGGAAGCCAGAGCTCAGAGGGGTCGAGCTACTCGCCCAGGGTCACACAGCCCTGACCCATGCTGCCCTGTCCCCATGTGAAAAGCATATATGGAAAAAGAGTCAGGGAAGCTTCCCCTAGTCACCCGAGGTGAGAGGGAAGGGTAAGGACCGGTGAGCAGGTACCTGTGACAAGGGTCGGCTGAGCCCAGGGAGGGAAGATGGCATCACGTGGAGAACAGAAACTCCGGTCTCCCTGGCCCTTGTGGGGTTCTGCTCTTGTGGCTCAGCGGGCCCCCGGCTCCCCGCTTTTCTTACCTGCGTCTGCTCGGGGAACGGGTGTGTAACAGGCCTCGAGAGCCTCCTGGTGCTGAAGCAACGGGCAGGGAGACCTCGGAATGCCAAGCAGAGTGCTGCCAGAGCCCCGCCCCGGCCACCTCCCCACGGCCCCGGGCCATGGCGGTCACCTGGCCACTGCCTGCCCCGACACAGGAGAGACCACTGCAGTCTGGGGAACGTTGGTCTTAGCCAGGTGGAGATGGAGTGTCAGGAGCCCTTCAGTAACGGTGACAGGTCTTTCGCGGGAGTTTCGCCGGGCACCACCCTGCGCCCAGAGTGCCCATCTGTCCTCTCGCCCACTTGGCACTGCAGCCCTGGGCCTTACTGTCTCATTTGGAAGATGGGGAGACTGAGGCATGGGGCCATTGAGTGGCTTGCTCACAGTCACAGAGCTAGTGAGCTGGGACTTGGGGCCTGGGGTCCTTCAGAACTGCCCGCCTGGACCAGCTCCCCCTGACCACGTGCCCACCTTGGATCAAGTGGGTCTGGTTAGGGGCGGAATCCAAGTGGATGATTAGCTTTGGTCCTGTGTGTCTGGCTGGGGCTGTGGAGGGGAGCTGCTCCCTGAGGGGCGTCCCTTGCGGGGCCCAGCTTGGGCAGGGCAGGGCCGGGCAGGCACCTTGCTCACCCCTGCTGCCCCCATGTGTGCGCACGCGGGTGTGCCGGTGCCGCTTCTGAAAGTCGACGTTCCAGGTGCACCTCCGGTGACCCCATCATCCTGCCCATGTGGCGAGTGCCCACACACCTGGGCTGGGAGACCACCCAGCGGGAGGCCGGTGGTGGACGTGGGAACCCAGCAGTTCCCACGGGACCCCGCAGCTCCAGTCCTGGACACAGACTGGGAGAGACGAGGCCACGGGTCCCACCAGATCCTGTGCACAGACGTGGGCAGCAGCATCATGGCAGCCAGGGGCAGGGACAGCTGTGTCCATCTCCCGGTGAATGGACATGAAGCCTGACACGCTCTAGCTGGCATGAGCCTTCAAAGCGCTGGGCCGAGGGAGGCAGCCCCGCCCGTGCAGCCCAGGAGCCCCAGAGAGGCTGGGGCAGGGCGGGCAGTGAGCGCGGGGGGCGGGGCTCTTCTGGTGATGGATGTGCTCTGGGAGGGCGTGGTGGCATGCGCGTGGACGCTAGAGCGACTTTAAAGGGTGCACTTGACAGTGGGTGAGTCAGCCCACTCTGCCGAGTCCAGGGTTGCCCGCGGTGTGCAGTGGAGTGGTGGCCTTGGGTGGTCCCCTGACGCTGACCACGCCGAGCCCTTCTTGGGTGCTGTTGTGGGAGAGCCTGGTCACACCCTCCCGCTGTGACCTGGGGTCTCTGCACGTGGCCTAGACCCTGCAGCACGGCTCTCTCCGCCTGCCTGTCCTTCCACTGTCCTATGGTCTTTTGAAGCCCAGAGGACCTTTTGGTCTTGAGGAAGTCCTGTTGCCTGGCCGTGTCTCCCCGTCCCCGCCTTGGCCGCCTTCCTTAGAGGTGCAGAGGTGGACAGCTGGAGGAGGTCTGAGGACAGCTCTTGCTGGCTGTAGTCATGCCCCGTGGGCACCCGGCCTGTCCTGCCACAGTGGGTCATGCCCACTGGCCCCCTTCCCGGTGCTCGATGGCCCTCCTGCTCAGTGCTGCACGTCGTCCTCGAGCCTATCTTGTCCCTGCAGAATGCCCCCGGGCCTCTGTCCCAGGCAGCCCCCCTCTGCGTCCTGGAGGCTGCTGCTGTCTGCCGTGGGCTGCGAGCAGTGTGGCGGGCACTCGGCCGCCTTGTTCTCCGAGACGCCCTCCTTCCTCCTGGCTCCAGCCGGGCACTAGCCCAAGGTGCTGTGGCCTGGCACTGCCCTCTGTGGGCTCCTGGCTCTGCCCAGAGGGCGGCCCCTCCTCTGGGGCCTGAGGTTCGCTGCAGCCCGCCCCATGCCCATCTCCCACAGGCGGGCTTCCTCAGGGTGGTGCCCCTTTCCTGCCACCCAGCGTGGCCCTCAGGTGTGGTGACCTTGAGACAGACGGCCTGGACATGGGGATGGGGTCACAGCTTGGTCCTTGGAGAGCCAGCTGGTTCTCTTGAGGGACAGGGAGAGGGAGGAGGACTGCTGGGCAAGAGCTGGCCGGGAAGGGTCATCGGGCACTGTTGCCGCCATGTGGACTTGGGCCCCTCAGTTCTACCACCGCTGATTTCACAGTTGTGCAGGGGGACGCTGGCCTTGAGCCTGCTAAGAGAAGCTTGGCCAGGGTGAGGCCAGGCCCAGGGCCGCCACCAGCTGACCCATGGCTTCCTGTCCCTGAGTCGGGGTGCCCTTCCACCTGTCGGGCTGTGAGCCGAGGCCCGTGACTGGCCCAGCTCAGCTGTGGGAACAGCACTGTCCCCCCGACAACGCCTGCTGGTGCTGTCTGAACCCCAAGCCTGTGACAACCCAGTGGCCAGGATGTGGAAGCCACTTCATCTCAGTGGCTGGTGTGCTGGTTCCGGCCCGGCCCGGAGCTCTCTGGGCTCCGCTGAGGTCTCAGGGCCCAGGGCTCCAGCTCACAGCTGCCCGGGATGGGGAGCTGCCCCAGGGCCTTTCAGGGCCCGAGGACCACCTTCTTTACAGGGAAGGATAAGTTCATGGCCGCCTGCCCCACCCAACCCCAAGTGCCACAGCTGATCAGAGGCAGGGACAGTTGGCTTTGTCACCCGCCTAAGGGCCCGGGCCACAGCAGGAAGAGTGGCCTCCTGCAGAAGCAAGTCTCTGGGGCTTTTTCTTCCAGGTGTTGCTTTTGAAAAACCCAGCGGTTCCTCTTTCTGCTGAGCAGGGCAGACCCTAGAGGTGTCCGTGTGTAGACACTGCAGAGTGGCCTTGGTAAGCCATGTCGAAGTCGACGACTCTTCTGTGGTCTTAAATACTTTCGTCAGATATTAGGAGCTCGTACTGTTAGTTCTAGACGTATCGAGCAACAAGAAAAATCCCAGCAACTAGGAAGGCCGAGGCAGGAGGATCCCAAGTTCAAGGGCAGACTCAGCAATTTAGGCCTTGCCTTAAAAAATAAAAAGGGCTGGAGATACAGCTCGGTGGCAGAGCACCCCTGGGTTCAATCCCCAGCCCCCAAAGTAAAAGTGGATATTTGTGTAGGACAATGTAATATAGCATTAGGAACGTTGAGCATTTTATTTCTTGGTTATAAAAACAGGACCACGGGACTTACCAAGCTGGGTGTGGTGACATGCCTCTGGAGGCTGAGACAGGAGGATTGAGGTTTGAGGCCGTCTGGGCAACTCAGCAAGACCCTGTCTCAAAGTTTTTAAAATAATTTAAATGAAAAATGTTCTCAGTGTAGTTTGAGCGGCCGTCCCCACCCAGCACCGTCCCCTTCGCTGACAGACCATCCCTACTGCCGGTGACTCAGTGCACGGGTTTTGACCTGACCGCGGTGCGAAAGCCACAGGCGACCCTGCCCTTCACGGTGAACGTGGGGTCAGCACATGCGCAGCGCGAGCTGCTCCTCGCTTGGTTTGAAGCGGGCTTTGTGCAGGTGTTGCTCGGCTGTGGCTGAGGGGAGTTCCCAGCACGCCTGGGTGGGCCAGGATGCGGGTGGTGGGTGAGGTGTGCTTCCACCGCGCCCTCAACTGGCAGTGAGTCTGGGGAACTTCACCCCCCCCCCGTGAGGCGGGAACCTCGTGCCTGCTGCACCTTCTTGGCTGACCCCTCTTTCTCTTGCCCGTTTTGTAAACACCACCTGGGTTCACCACAGGCAGCCGAGTGGACAGCCCAGCTGCACCCTTCACTGTCTGGGCTCGAGCTGGATGCTGGAGGCTCGGGGACCAATCAGTGACTCTGAAAGAAGTGACATTGCTGGTCACTGATCATGAGGTGCATCCGTCATCTGCATGTGATCGGTGCCTGGGAACTGGCGGAGCCGCTGTGCTTTATGTAGTTGCTCAGCTAATGCCAAGGGAACGGAAACTTGGACTGAGCTGATGGGACTGGCGGCAGCTAAGCCCTGGTTAGTGGAACTCACATGTCAGCACCGTGCAGAATGGGGCCTGGGATTCAGAACCGGCTTATGTTGTTTATTTGTTTATTTTTGGTGCTGGAGATGGAGCCCGGGCTGCTCTTCCACTGAGCCCCCGCCCTGTTTACTTTGAGACAGGGTTCTGTTAATCGCCCGTGGCTGCCTGGAACTTGCGGTCCTCTTGCCTCGGCCTCCTGCGTCGCTGGGATTCCTGGCGGGTGCCACTGTGCCCAGCTCAGGATTGGTCTAAAAGTTTCTCTAAAGCAGCTTTTTAAATTGCAGTTTCTGATCAGTTTGGCTTAGAACATAAAAGACTATTGGTGAGGATGAGCTGGTGCCCGTGTTCTCAGCCTGTGGTGGGTGCAGTGATGTCATTCAGGCCCTGGAGGCGCTCGACGGGAGAGGTTGTCAGCATCAAGTGAAAGACAAGTGTCAGATCCTAATGCTGCCGTGTGCAGTGTGGCCTTGGACCAGACTCTTGACCTCTCTGAGCTTCTGCCTCTCCTGCAAAAAGGGGACCCTGGTCAGCACCTGCCGTGGGTCCCTGAAGACTGAGCGAGCTGCTCTGGAGTAAAGGAGAGGACGCTCGGGAGATGCAGGCTGTCAGCTCCCGGGCCTGGGCACTGCGGAGGGCCCTGAGCCGGGTGGTGGGGGCCCAGCCCTGCTGCATGTCTGCTTGAGGCAGCGAGGGAGATGGGTCCTCGCTGTCCTGGGGACCCTACAGCGCCCCTCTGTGAGGCTGCTCGGGCGGCGTGCTTGACGCACAGGGGTCCCGGGAGCCTGGAACACGCAGCAGGCCCAAGCCTGCCGAGCTGGCGGCCCACGCGCCCACCCCCACGCTATGAGCTACAGGTCGGTCTCCTGCTGCCCGGATGGCCTCGGCCCCCGGCCCCCCTCTCTGGTCCCCCATGTGGTCTCCTGCTCACCCTCGTCTGCCCTCCCGCCCACAGGCAGCTGCTGAAGACGGAGCTCGGGCCCTTCTTCACGGAGTACCTGCAGGTGGGTGGCACTTGCTGGCCAGGGAGGACGGGGTCACCTGCTGTTGCTGGGTGTGGCTCCAGCTGCACTGCAGCCTGCGAGGGGAGTGCGAGGACTTGCCTCGCGTGGCTTGGTGTCCCCATCTAGCCAGTGTGGGGTGTTGTGGTGCTTAAGAAAGACGCAGGTGAGTCTTAGTGACGTCCCTGGCACCAAGAGGACTTGGTGCTGGTGATTGTCCACCCCCACCCAGCGACCAGTGCAGGACCCCAGATGTGGTATTTGGGCCACCTGTGCAGCCACAGGCCTGAGCCCTCAGGAGCCAGAGGCTCGAGAGCTGGCTGCACTGACCCGAGATCACGCAGCCAGGAGGGCCAAGGGCATGGCACGGTGCTCTGAGCTCAGCCAGGTGGTGTGGGTGCCCAGGGCCCCTCCAGGCCCCCACACAGGCCCGGCAAGGCACCAGCCCAGGACGGGGACAGGCAGTGGTCCAGCTCACGGGGTCTTAGGGCTTTTTAAAGTTATCACGTGGCAGCCTCACGGGGTTTGTCCCGGGGCTATCCCTCACTGTTCACGGAGACAAGCACAGATCCGGGGTGGTGGCGTGTCGGCAGAGTCCTGCTGACGTCACCACGAGGTAGAGCCATCTCCCGGCCTCAGGAGCAGTGGCCCAGCCCAGCCCCTGGTTTTGAAGTCCTCGCTGTCCCCATGAGCTGTGCTCCATCTCCTTCTGGGGACACTGCTCCTCGTAGGGACGCAAGCAGCATCACGGGTGGGCTGGGCCGTCCCCGCCTCGGCTCTGGGAAGGTGCATAGAGACCTCGCTCTTGGCCGAGCCACCTGCCTTGTGCCTGGGTCCCCCGTGTGTGGCCAGGAGCCAGGCGTCAGGAAGGGGTGCGCACAGCCCGCGTGTTGGAGGGCGTCCCTGCCGCCACCTCCTGCCTCGTGACAACCTGAGGTGCAGGCTCTGCATGGTGGGTGGTGGGCCCTGGGCAGTCGCTGCCCCTGAGGCCCAGCTGCTTGTTGGTGGCCTGTGAGGTCTCGTGGGCCTGCTCACCCCAGGGCACACCGCGACAGTGACGACCCTCTGCTTGCTTCCAGAACCAGCTGCTGACTCAGGGCATGGTGATCCTCCGGGACAAGATCCGCTTCTACGAGGGTGAGTGGTGGCCCCACAGCAGGGACCTACCTGCCTGCGGCTTGCCTGCTGAGACCATGGGACAGTGGCCTGGCCCGAGTGCACGCCTGGGTCATGGCCTGCTGGGCTCTGCCTGGTCCCCAGGGCTCTGGGCCGGAGGAGTCGTGCTCTGGTCAGAGGGCTTGGGGGACAGAGTGGCCTCAGGCAGCGGACCTCAGGGAGAGCGTCCCTCCCTCACACATGCAGCTAGGAGGACCTGGCCGCCAGGGAAGGCCCTGCCTCTCCTCACTGCCCTTGGGGACTTGCTGCCTGGTAGAGCCTGTCCTGGGTCCTGGGAGGAACTGCGCGGGGACTTGGCGGCTGGAGGGGAGCTGGCTCAGACAGAAGCTGAAGGGACAGGGACAGGGCCAGGAGCTGTGGACTGAGCGTCGCGAGGGCAGTCAGATGAGCTTTCTCAAAGCTCATTCCACCTTGTGAAGACTTCAGGTCCTTGTTCCCAAATGGGGACAGTGCAGTGGTGATAGGCTGTCTGTGGCCACACTGCAGAGAGGAGTGGTGGCAGTCCCAGTGGCCTCTCTTTCTGGCCTGGCAGGAGGCTGTGGCCTTGACCTCTGGCATCCAAGGGCCTCAGGCAGTAGCCCAGGTGCCAGCGCCCTTCGGCAGGTGTGGCATGGGGCAGGGCAGCGGCGGGAAGAGCCCCCTGCAGAGTCCTGCTCGCCCGGGTGCTGGCTCAGGCTCCGGGGACTTGCGGAGCACCTGCGACACCAGTCTCCGCTCTGCCAGGCGCGCCCCGCACACCTGCCAGCCCAGCAGACTCGCAGCTCAGCCCTGGCCCCGGGGGGTCGGGCGGCTTCCTGAGCAGGCAGCGTCTGTGGGCTGAGCTGGGAGCACGGGGCAAGCCCAGCCGGGACAGCCAGGGCGCCTCAGAGCAGGGAGGCTCCGTGTGGCCTGGCGGAGCTCGGTCCCCACCTCCTGTGTCCTCCAGGCCTCCCAGCGGGCACTTGGTGGCTGACGGAATTGACAGGGCAGCCTAGGAGGCCGTGTCCAACCTCCCTGGGCACCGGGGACAGCAGCGAGTTCTGGGCTGGGAGTCACCACCTGGCTGTCAGCTCCCAGGTCCCACAGGCACACCACGTCCTGCCCAGTCTGGGTGCCCCCTCTAGCGCTGTAGGGTGGACCAGCTCCCCAGGGCTCCTCCTGGGTGCTCCCTGCATGTCAGCCCTGGAGGTCTCTGGGGACCTGGAGGTGGAGGGATGCAGGGCCTGCCCTGCAGAAACTCACAGCTGGGGACAGAGACGCGGAAAGTTGGTGGGGGTCCAGTGTGGTTGACGTAAGGGGGAGGTGGCCTGGGGAAGGAAGGTCGCTGTCCTTTGGCAGGGCTGCACGGAGCGGTCGGCCTCTAAGGGCCTCACGTGTGGCGAGTTTAGGAGGACATCTGCCCTGCCGCCCTGTCCTGCTCCCACCCGGGTTTCCCCAGAGGAGTGGCCGCCGGCCAGGCCCCAGCCGGGCTGTGCAGGAGGAGGCCAGCAGGGACGGGGCAGCCCTTCTCTAGCCTCCAGCAGGCCCTGGACGGCAGCCAAGCAGGGCCTTCCTGGACAAGGAAAGAGAGGAGAGGTGGAGGCCAAGGGCTGCTTCCCGGGATGGGAGGTGGCCAAGGCCCAGGCTCTCCAGCAGGAGTCCTGGGAGGCCTTGTGCCCACCGGGCGCCACCAGCAGCCCCGCATCCTTGGCCGTGCTCCTGGGCTCTGGCCACACCCCGCCAGGCGTCCCTGCGTCCTGCTGCTCTCCCATGTGGCCTTGGTCACTGCCCTCTGGCCTTCATCATCCCTGTGGTCTCCAGGGTGTGGCTGGGGGCCCTGAGCTGGACCGGCCAGGTTCACTCCTGTCCCTGGGCTGCACGATGGCTCTCAGCACCCTTGAGCTGAGGAAGGACCTACCCGGGTGACAGCCCTCGTGGAGCCTGGCTGCCCCTGGGCCCAACAGCCCTCCCTGCACTGCTGACCTCGGGTCCTGGGGCCCGGGGTCAGTGGTCAGCCCGGCCCTGAGGTGTCATGCCAGAGCAGACGCCGAGCTGCCTGTCCCCGGCGACCCCATGGGGTGTTCTTCAGCCCGCTGCACAGAGGGCACCACTGAGGGCTGCTGAGGAACTTCCCTGGGCCACACAGCCAGGTGCAGAGCAGCCCCTGACCGCCCCACAGCCCCCAGGTGCCCCACTCAGCGGCAGCCCCCAGTGGGATCCTGGCCCAGGACCAGGCTCCCCTCCTGGGCTGTCGGCCTGCGGCCTGGCCGGGGCCTGGGTTCTGTGTTCTACAACGTCTGCTTTCCGCAGCGTTTCCGCCCCGTGGGCTGGAGAATGGCCTGAGCTCAGCGGAACACTGGCCTGGCCGGCGCCCAGGGCTGCCCCACGGCCAGCCCCGGGGACTGAGCAGCCTTTCTTCCTGCGCGACACAGGGAACTGAGGGACTTTGTGTGTGGGCAGAGTTCTGCTGCGGAGCAGGCATCCGCCCATCCCCGCCTCCCTGCTGGCCGCCTGGCCCTGGCAGCCAGGTACGGGCCACCCAGGAGGTGAGAGCTGGCCTCCCAGAGAGCAGCGGGCAGCCACACGGGAGGCAGGGCCTGCTCACAGGGCTGCCCCTGGTGCCCTGCACCTACCCGGTCCTGGGGGTTTGGGGTGAGGGTACAAGGCCCCAGGAAAGTAAGGCGAGCCAGACGAAGGCCCTTGGCTGGCCACCGCGTTCCCATGGAAACCCAGAGCTGGGCAGCCTGGCAGTGTGGCCTGGGAGGCAGGCTGGCCACGTTCAGGGGCTCGCCCCCCTTCACTCAGACCCACACACAGAGTCCCTCCAGGCGGCAGGGGCAGGGGACACATGCTGGGGCCTGCTCCTTCCTGCACCCCGCAGCCCCGGGCCCAGCTCTCTGCTGAGTCCAGGCCCAGAGGCCAGCGCCCTGCAAGCTGTGTCTTCTGTAGGCGCCCAGAGCCAGCTTGGGCACCTCGGCTGCCCTGTTCCTGGAGAGCCACCCACCCGCCGGACAGTGCCACTCTGCCCCAGGCCAGCAAAATGCCCACAGAGCTTGCGGGAGTGCCTGCTCACACACACCTGCTTTGGGTGTTCTTGTACCAAGAACGCCCCCCTCTTTGGCAGCTGCTTCCTAAACCTGGCGTGGATGTCACCTCCTGCTGACCTGGGCACGCTCCCCTGGTGAAGTGGGCTTTCTGGCTTCACAAGCAGACAGGCAGCGTGGCCAGGCCCTGGGGGGAGACCTGACACTGCAGCCCAGGTCACTGACCATGGAGGTCACGCCCACCCTTGTCCAGTGTCTTCCTGGCCCAGCTCCCTGCCATTAATGGATCCTGATGTCCGGCATCGGGCCTGGCTGTGGGCACGCGTTCAGCAGGCAGGAGGACGACTCCTCACCCACCTGGCAGGGTCTTGCGGGGGTGGGGAGACTGAGCTGCAGCTCCTGCGGGCACACCTGTGTGGCGGACACAGGACTGGCCGCCTGGCACTGGACTGTGTGCTGAGCGCCTGGGCCTAGTCTCATGGGGTCCCACTGGCTCTGGCCTGTCATGCCCCTGTTTTGTAGGCGGCAGGCTGAGCACAGAGGGCAGGCAATGTCACCTGGGCAGGCACCTCTAGGGCTTGGCTTGGGCCCTCGGCTCCTCGCGCTGGATGGGCAGAAGGATCCACTGGCGTCATCTGTCCGGGGCAGGCAGTGACAGCTCCTTGTGCCCACAGGACAGAAGCTGCTGGACTCCCTGGCAGAGACCTGGGACTTCTTCTTCAGTGACGTGCTGCCCACGCTGCAGGCCATCTTCTACCCAGTGCAGGTGCCCGGCCACGTGGGACAGGGTGGTGACGCGCTCCTGCCCTGGCCTTCCTGCGCTTCTCGGGATCGGCCCGTGAGAGGCAGATCAGGAGGCCCCTCCGAGCCCTGCAGAGCTGAGCAGCAGGCACCTGGCCCCGAGTGCAGGACTGTCCCTGCCAGGGGAGCCGGGAGGGCCCTGGGCTCTGTGGGAGGGGTCATCTGGGAGGACAGGAGGTACAGGGGCCCTGAGGGTCAGTGGCCCGTTCCCGTAACCCGGGGTGGGCGGGGTGGAGCCCTCTTGGCGGGCAGATGGGTGCAGCGCCCTGTCCGCAGGGCAAGGAGCCGTCGGTGCGCCAGCTGGCCCTGCTGCTGTTCCGGAACACCATCACTCTCAGCGTGAAGCTGGAGGACGCACTGGCCCGTGCCCATGCCCGCGTGCCGCCCGCCATTGTGCAGATGCTTCTGGTACTGCAGGTGGGTGGCGGGGCCTGGCGGGCACAGGCCTGGGGGCACCAGAGGTGGAGCTGAAGGCCAGGGTTCTGGACCCGTGACTGGGGAGAGGGAATCTGTAAGGGAGGGACAGACGAGGCCAGGAGAGGCTGCAGGTGCCCGGGAGGGAGTGGGCCAGGGCTGACCTCCTGGGCGGACGCTGTCCTTACCTCCTGTGCTGGGGGCCCACACACGGGCAGGGACCTCAGCGTCCTTCCGTTGGAGCTCACCAGCCAGCACGGCCTGGCCCGCAGCAGGGCGGGACACCTGTCCAGAGGGCGGCGCCAGGCAGCTGGGTGCCTCTTGCACGCTGGCGCTCCCCACGGCCTGCCATCACCACGGGAGGCAGCAGGCACCGCCAGCCCATCTTACAGGCAGGGAAAGAGCCTCGCCCGCGAGCCTGGCCTCACACTGGTCTTGGGCTGCCAACCCCTGCTCCTTGTTCTCAACCCCCAGGGCGCATGGAGTCCCTTTAAAGTTAGGGTCTGTCGGTCGGCCTGGGGGCAGAAGGGAGCTGTCCAGATTCTAGAGCGAGGCAGGGGCTGGAAGGTGAGGTTGGTAGGGTCAAGAGTGGTGCTGGGCCGGAGGCCTGAGGGTGTCCTGGCTGCCAAGCTGGATGCCCACCGTGGGTGGCACTTCTAGCTGTCAGGTCTGGCTAGGCTGGGAGCTTCCAGGACTTCTCTGGGCCTGTTCCTCATCTCTGTGATGGAGAAAGGGGTCAGGCCCCGCAGGGCAGGTGTGAGGGCCGCAGGGAGAGTTGGAAGGCCACCTTCTGTGGTGCTGTGAGCAGCAGGCAGCTCGGGGCTGGGCTGTAGATGCCCCAGGGTCTCTCCCCAGAGAACTCCAGGGAGGGAAGTGGCCATGGCCTGTGCGGCGCTGCCCCCAGGTGGCCGCCATGCCTCCTGCAGCCCTCAGATGGTCCCCACCTCCCCCAGGGCCACCCCTCCCACAGGCCTCTGCCTCGCCCCACCTGCCGCCTCTCCCCTCACCTTCAGGACCTTGTCCTAGTCTCTTGCTGAACTTGTCACCGGCCTTGTCTTGGTCCCCAACTGAACCTGGCCCCTGCTGTTTCAAGCCTTGGGTGGGTCTGAGGTCACAGCTGCTGACCAGCACGTGTGGAGGGCCTCTGCTGTGTGTCCCTGAGCCCCCAGGATCACAGCTTCCCTGGGGCCCCGGGGATGGGGTCTGAGTGTGTCCACTCGCTGCCTGTGCCGGGCGGGGCAGCAGGGCCCACAGGACGGGAAGCAGAACGGTGTGAACCCGCAGGACGTCCCCCGCCACCCTCCAGGCAGAGGCTGGGTCATCGTCCCCACATGGGCGTCACGTGCTCACTGCCTGTCCCCGTGTGACCTTCACGCTCTTGCAGGGGGTGCACGAGCCCAGGGGCGTCACGGAGGACTACCTGCGTCTGGAGGTGCTGATCCAGAAGGTGGTGTCGCCGTACCTGGGCACCTGTGGCCTCTTCTCCAGCGAGGGCCCCTCCTCCCACTCCTGCATCCTGGGTAGGGGTCACCTGGGCCCTGGGCTGGGGTGACCACTGCCCGCGTTCTCCTGTGGACAGACAGGAAGTCCAGGGCCACAGCCCTGCCGTGCGGGACGGGGACACACAGAGACCCGGGGGTGGGAGTGGCACCAGGCAGGGGCAGGGATCCCCGCAGAGCCCCAGGGCCCCCCCATGCTGTCGGGATGGGAGGCCGCCAGGCGTCAGCCCAGAGCACGTGCCTGGAGCTGGGCGAGCCCTGGGCAGGTATTTGGTGGGGGGAGGGGAGCTGGGGCCACCTGGCGGGCAGCAGGAGCCGGCCACCGTGCTGCCCTGGTCCGTTCAGTCCATGGCCCGGCCCCACCCTCATGGGCTCTGGTCGAGCGGGAAAGGGAGACCAGTGAGTCCCCACAGAGACTCTGGGCTGACGGGTGGCGAGCGTCCTGGGCCGAGGGGACAGTAGTGGTACAACGGCCACTTGGGACTCCCCTCACATCTGGAATGGCAGCCCCATGCCCATGGCCGCTGCATCTCACTCAGGCAGAGACAGAACTAGGCACTGCTGGGGTGGGGCCTGGACAGGGGGACCCCAGCCCCGCTGAGGAGGGTCCTTCAGCCTCCGTGTCCAGGCAAGGCCCCGGACCACTCAGCCCTGCACCTGGTGGTCACGAGGGGATGGCAGGATGAGACCTGCCCTCCCCTGCCCGCCTTCTGCACAGAAGGCCAAGTTGTCCCCCTTTGCCCTCGCCCCGTCCAGCTGCTGCCCAGCACACAGTGGTCCGCAGCGGCCATCTGTGACAGGCTTTCCCCAGCTCCAAACAGCCCGACCCCCTGGCAGGGCCCTCGTCACAGCTCCAGCCACCCTGTGACTGCGTCTGCCCAGCAGAAGGGCCTGGAGCATGTGGGGTCCAGGTGCTGGGGGCAAAGGCCAGGGGTCAGTAGGCCTGAAACCCTGTGTCTCCCTCCAGAGAAGCGCCTGCTGCGCTCCCGCTCCGGGGACGTCCTGGCCAAGAACCCCGTGGTGCGCTCCAAGAGCTACAACACGCCGCTGCTGAACCCTGTGGCCGAGCACGAGGCAGAGGGCGCGGCAGCCGCCGGCCCGGGCATCCGCAGGCACTCGGTGTCGGAGATGACGTCCTGCCCCGAGCCCCAGGGCTTCGCCGGCTCCCCTGGCCAGGGCCCCGCGGGCACCTTCAGGGCCTCCCCGACGCCCCACTTGGGGCCCTGCGCCAGCAGACTGTACCCCCCTGCCCAGCCGCCGGCACAGGGCCCTGCCCGCAGCTCTCCACCCTCCTCCAGCCCCGAGACCCTGGTGGACCAGACACTGGAGTCCGCGGACTCCGACTCCGAAGGGATTTTCATTGACTTTGGCCGGGGCGGCGGCTCGGGGGTGTCCGGCTTCGAGGGGGCGGGGGGCCGGCAGAGCGTGGTGTGAGGCCAGCGCTGCGCGTCCGCGGGACGTGAGAGACTTTCCGCCCCAGCCTCACTAGCCCCTTTCGACCTTGTCACTGCCTCAGTCACTTTATCCCCCAGTCTGCGGAAAAGCCTTCCTGCCGCTCTGCCAGGTCCACTGGGGCGTCCCAGTGGGCACCACCCAGGTGCCCAGCCGGCCTTGCCCAGGGAGGACACGGTGGCTGCCCCTCCCACCTGCCCCGCCCACTGAGAATGTGAATCTGGTGCGGCAGAAGTCCTGAGTGCCAGGGTGCAGCAGACCCACCCTGCCCACACGCTGGGGCCACCGCCAGGCCCCCTGGGTGGCTGCCGGACAGGGAGGGGAGGAATAAACTTGTCTGCCACTCGGCTCCTCTCTGCCCACCCCGGGCTCCTCTCTGCCCCCTCTGCCCCCCCAGGCTCCTGGTCCCCAGCCCTCCCCCCCTGCAGGGCACTCCTGGCCTGTGGCCCCATCCATCCAGTTCCAGTCTCTGTCCCATCCTGCTGGACAGCCCGGGACATCCGGGAGCAGGGCCTGGGTGTAGGTCATGCCCTGTGTAAGGGAGTCCAGCCCGACCTGGCCCTGGGCGTGAGCTGGCGTGGAGCTGCTGAAGCCTGGGAGGAGGTCCCGCAGCTCCTCTCCGTGCCCCTGGCCGAGCATGGGGTGGCCTGCTGAAGGCCGCCTGGCCTGGGAGGGACTAGCTGTCCCTGCCCCACCGTCCCAGCAGGTTTTCCTCAAGGCCTCAGGTGGCCAGGTCTCCCTGCTGGCAGCAGCTGGGAAGGGGCCACTTCCTGCCCCGAGGGAGAGCTGGGGGTGGTGCAGGGCCTGACTGGGCAGTCACTCCGAGTGGGCCCTATCGAGGGCCAGAGGTTGGTGGGGGCCGTTCTGCACCTCGTCCACCCTGGCACCCTTCAGAGCTCCCGGGAGTGACTTTCTGCTGCGGGTGGGGAGGGAATGGCCTCTGAGTGGGTGAGGGACAGCCCAGGGCAGGGTAGCCAAGTGGTGGGACAGGGGGTGCCCAGGTCACACGGTCTGCTGGAACATCTCGTAGAAACCCTGGTCCCCTGGCCCAGGGTGGGGCTGCTGGGGCTCTCCAGACTGCTGGCCCAGGTGGCCTCCACGTTGTCGTCAGTGATAGGGGCAGGTGCTGACCCCAGGGCTCTGGGAACAGGTGCAGTGGGGCCACAGGCCTAACCCTGAGGAGCCCTCTGCGCAGCCGAGGTCCCCAGCTAAGCCCCATCACCCTGTCCCCCACCCAGCCTGGGGTCGCCCGTCTCTGATCCCTACACCAGGTGCCCATGTCCCCACGTCCTCTCTCCAGTGTGCCACACTGAGTTTCAGAGACAGAAGGGGATCACAGGACGGAGAGCCCCCGAGTCCAGCAGCAGCACCTGCACCCCTCGCTGTGGTCCCCTCTGGCCTTGGAAGAGACTGGAGCTAGGTGGGGCGTGGGGGTCCCGGCCACCCACCACAGTCCGCCTCCAGCCCCAGGAGGCACCTCTGTCCCTCTCCCACCGTGTCCCAGCCCTGGGAGGTCCCTGACGTCCCCGGCTTGCCAAGGAGTGGGACGGCGGGTGGGCTGGTGCCGGGAGCCATGAGCGTCACCTGGGCGCGGCCAGCGGGCTGTTTGCTCTGCCTCAGGACGGGGTCCCAGGAACTCCTCCTGTGTCCTCTGTGGTGTGGGTGCTGCTGGGGCCTCGGGAGCCCCTGCCCCATCTGCCCCACCTCATTTCAGCCACGTGCTGGGGGTCCCCATGAGCAGCCCTGGGATGCCACCAGCCACCCTGTAGCCTTGGGGACAGATGCACCAAAAATTGTCTAAAATGAAAAGTCCTGCTGAGAGCCTCCTTGACAGCGCATGCGGCCCCCGGGGACGCCCCTTCCCACAGCAGGGGGCGCTGTGCTCCTGTGGGCCACCCCCTCCACCTTCGACCCCATTTCGGCTTCCTTCCTTCTGAAGGCCCATCTCCGCCCAGGGCAGGGCTTCAAGACAGGATTGGGGACTCAGTCCACTGCACTTGGGGTGGTGGCCTTCTAGGCCCACCCTGAGAGCTGGAGGAGGGTCATGGGGACCAGTAACCCACCCAGGTCACAGGAGACTTGTCCCCATTGTGGCAGGGGCCACTGGGGAGGTGGCTTAGGGAGCCAGGTGGGCCTTGCCTACAAGCCCCCTTCTGAGAGTGGCCTTCTGCCCCGGGGCGGGGGGCGGGGGGGGTGGGGAGCCTGTGGGAAATGTCCACCAGAAACCCCAAAGAGCAAGTTCAGGACGCGGAGGCCCATCTGTGACTTCCCATTCAACCATGAGAATCATGTCTGACTTCTGATTAAAGAACATCTGGCCCAGAGGTGCACGCCTGTGATCCCAGCACTCGGGAGGCTCAGGCTGGAAGTTCACAAGTTCAAGGCCAGCCTCAGCAACTCTGCAACACCCTGTCTCAAAACAGAATGTGAAGTGGGCTGTGGGTGTGTGTCGCTCGGTGGGTAAGCACCCTGGGTTCCGTGGAAGGGAGCGGGGACAGATTCTGGGAGTGCACCCAAAGGAATTGAATCAAGGCCCATAGGTGTTTATATCCAGGTTCGTAGCATCCTTCTAGAGTCAAAGACAGAGAACCCCGCGCCCATCGACAGCTGAGTGGTTAAACAGAAGGTGGTTTGTCCATACAATGGAATATTATTTAGTCTGAAAAAAGAAGGAAATCCTGATTATACTAAAATTGGATGAATCTTAAGGACATTATACTAAGTAAAATGAGCCAGTCACAACTACATGATACCGTGTGATTCCACTATATGAAGTACCAGGAGGAGTCGGAGTCATAGAGACCCAGTAGCAGTGGTTACTGGGGAGCGGATTAGAGTTTCAGTTTTGCAAGATGAAATTCTGGAGATTGCTTGGCCGTTGAGCCACATCTCTAGATAGGGCCTCGCTAAGTTGCTTAGAGCCTCACTAACTTGCCCAGGCTGGCCTCAAACCTGTGGTCCTCCTGCCTCAGCCTTCCCAGTTGCTGGGATTCCAGGTGTGCACCACTGCACTCAACAACCATGTGGACGTATTTAACACCACAGAACTGTACCTATCAGGAGGGGACAGGGCCTCGCTGTACTGCCCGGGCTGGTCTCCACCTCCTGGGCTCAAGCCAGCCTCCCAAGGAGCCGGGGCTACCATGTGGGCCACCTGCTGAGCCTGAGCGGTAGGCTTAAGATGGTCGCAGTGGTGTACACTTCATCACAAATCCTTTTTTTAAAAACATGGAAGGGAGGGAGGGGAGAGAGCCTTCCTCCCTGGCGATTCTCCAGGGCTGCTTCCCTGCCGGGCTCTGGGCTGCCCCAACCCCATGGCCCTCTGCTGCAGGGGCCCGGCACTCCAGCCTGTGCAGTGACCCCGAGGCCTTGAGAAGTGCGAGGCTGCCAGGCACCCACTGGAGATGGGCCACCAACAATGGCACCTCCTACAGAGGCCTGTGCTTCCCAGGACCCTTGGGGTGGGGTGGGGGGATGTGACCAGCTCTGGCCAGCGAGTGCTGGGTGGAAGAAACATGGGGCTCTGTCCATTATCTGTGGACAGAGCCCTACCTGGGCTCCTTCCCTCGTTGGGTGTGGGGACTGGCACGCTCCAGTGCACCGGTGTGGCTGGCAGCCCTGAGGGGGCGCTCGTCACCGCGGCATCACCTGGCCAGACCCCGCCACACCTCCTCTTTCCTGGGCTCTAGAGGCCGGTGGTCCTTGAATGGGGAGGCCAATGTGGGGCGTGGCCTTCTGTGTGCTGTGCACGTCGCACACCCCCACGGGACAGGCAGAGCCAGGGCCACCAGCATGATTCCGAGTTGGTCGCTGTGTGAGACTGAGCAGGTCACTGTCTCAGTTCGTCCCTCCATAACAGGGACCTTTCCAGATGCCAAATTCTTGCCCTTCCACGTGCCATGGACTCCCGTCAGAGCAGGGCGGGGGACTGCGGCCCGAGGACAGGCTCTGCACAGATGGCGAGGCGCACAGCAGACCTGTGTTCCCCGGGTTCTGTGGCTCAGCAGTGGATTGAGGGTGTCCCGGGGAGGCCCGCTGGGTGACCGCTGGTGCAGAGCTGCCCGCCAGCTGTGAGACCTAAGTGGTCTGCAGGAGTGTCGCCCGCCCTTCCCCTCACAGGACACTCCCAGCTGTGTTGGTGGAGGGGACGGCAGGTGGCGTGACGCGGAGCTGGGACCAGGCAACCCGCTGGGGCAGAGGAGGAGCCGGATGGTGGGAGCCCCTGGTGCTCCCCACAGGTGCAGCTTCCAGGAACAGTGCCCCCCAGGGACAGTCCACAGGGACAGCAGCCACCCCAGGGGGAGTGTCCCGTAAGACAGGTGCCCTGCTGCATCAGGGTGCCCCCACTCCCGGGGAGCCTCACCAAGGGTGCCTTCGTGGGCGGCACCAGACCCACAGCAGCCACCGGCCATAGTGACCAGTGTCCAGGGTCCTTGGCCTGCATCCTGTGGCCTCCCACCACCCAAGCTGGACATTCCAGCCTGAGACATGCCAGGGTGTCCCCTCTCAGGGTGGACACCACAGTGGTGGAGCCAGTCACTGCCTGGGTCCTGGTGGCCAAGGAGGTGGGTGAACCTGTTGTCTCCCACCTTAGGACAGTGAAATTGGTAAGGAGGGGAATTCTAGTGGCACAAGGGCATCTGAAAGATGGCACCACCAATGCCCAGCCCTAACAGTGAAGGGGCATTGAGAACAGGGCTTGCTCAGCTTCCCATCACTTGGCGCCAGTCCCGGTGCCTCAGGAGGCTGAGGCAGGAGGATCGCAAGTTCATACCAGCCTCAGCAGAAAACAAGGCACCAAGCAACTCAGTGAGACTCTTGTCTCTAAATAAAATGCAAAATAGGGCTGGGGGTGTGGCTCAGTGGTCCAGTGTCCCCACACACAAAGGAATTCAATCATCAGGCACAAGAGTCCAAGAAATCCAGTGGAGAAACACACACACCCCTCTGCTGTCAGCTCTAGAATAAAGGGTCCGGGGATTGGGTCTGAGCTTGGCCACCCAGCCGTGAAGCCAGCCCTGAACACACGGTCCCCGTGTCCTGGCACACGGAGGAGAGGGCTGGAAGTCGGTCGTGATCTCCTTTGGGTCAAGCTGGCTGCCACCCACGCATCGGCTGGGAAATGTCGGTTCCGTGGTTTAATAAGGTCAGGACAGGCCAAGAGTCCGTGGGAGCAGCTGGCGGGGCGAGCTGTTTGGGGGAAAATAAACGGGTTGCCAGGACCTTGGAGGCGGCCTGTCTTTCCTGTCTCACACTCTTCACCCCCAGCGCTTGTCAGTGTGGAGTTTGCTGCTGGGGGAACCAACTCCGACTTCACAGACATTTGTAAGAGCAAATTTAATAAAGCTG